GACTAGTTCTCCAAATAAATCATGTATTTTTCAAATGTTTGAATGTTCTTTCCATCACCCTCACCTCAGGCATATTGATCACAAGTGATTTGTATTTTGGAGCAGTTTTGGGAGGAATGTTGGAGATAGCTTGCTTCAGAAAGGAAGGATAAGTGGAATGAGTCAGCTATGTGCCATGAGTAGGAAGAGCATATAATATAACTTAGCCTATCCTAGCTAATAATAGACAAACATGGTAATTGACCATACCTTCGCTACACCGCCCATTGGCTAATCAGCGAGATATGCAAATTAACCACCAACAAAGATGGCGGTTAATTTGCATACGTAGGTGGGAAGCGGCGGAGCGAAGGCTTGAAGGTGGCTCTGGCTGGAGCAGCGAAGGCTTAAAGGCAGCTCCGGCCGGAGCGAAGGCCTGGGTCCCGGGTGCCGGAGGAAAACCGGTGCCGGCAGCCAGGGGAAGGGAAGGCCTATTGCACGAATCTTTTCACGCAACAGGCCTCTAGTATATAACATATAACTTAACTGGGAGACTTTTTAATTTTGGTAAAACATATGTAACATAAAATTTACCCTCAACCATTTTAAGTGTACAGTACAACGGTGTTAGCTCTGTGTATATTGTTGTGCAACAGAATTAGAACTTTCATCTTGCAAAACTCTATACCCATTGAAATTTTGTCTTGCAAAACTCTATACCCTTTCCCCTCCTGCTAGCCCCTGGAAACCACAATTCTATTTTTTTGTTTTTAGAAGTTTGACTACTTTATATACCTCATAGGAAATGATGATGTAACATTTGTTGTTTTGTGACTGGCTTATTTTACATAGCATAATGCCCTCAAGGGTCATCCATGTTGTCACCAATGGCAGGATTTTCTTATTTTTCAATGATAGATAATATTTATTGTATGTATATGCCACACTTAATTTAATCATTCCTCCTTTAATAGACATTTACTAGTAAGTTGCTTCCATCTCTCGATTTTGTGAATAATGCTGCAATGAATATGTGTGTACAAATATCTCTTTTCAGTTCTTTTGGACATATACTCAGAAGTTGGATGGCTAGGTCATATGGTAATTCTATATTTAATTTTTAGGAATCTCCATACTGTTTTCCACAATGGCTAAACCAATTTTTTAAACCGAACAATGCACAAGGGTTCCAATTTCTCCACATCTTTACCGTCACTTCTTTATTTCTCCTTTATTGTTGAAGGACAGTTTTGCTAAATATAGGATTCTTTCTCTAGAGCTTATAATCTCTTGCTCTCTCAGGTTTCTGTCTGATCTTTAGGTTCCCTGGTGCTGCAATATGTCACTAAAGTATCCTTTGTTCTCAAGGCCCTCAGGCCTCCAAAGTATGTCAGTTCCCCATCGTAGGGCTAGATAAAAACTATCCTTGGTACCCCAGAAAAGCTGGAAAGTTGGACAAATTTTCCACTCTTTCTCTCCTGAGGGTGAAACCATGATTCAGGTATTTTCTCCTGATCGGGTTGAGCTGTACCAGCTTCGGGGAAGGGTTGTCTTGGTGAAAGACAGTGTTTTTTCTTACTCATTTCAATACAGTTGTATTTGACTCTGCACTTGACTTCTCAGCTGTTTTCTGGAGTTTTGAAAAAGGCTTTCTGTATCATACATTGTTGTTAAATTGGTGTCTTTGTGGGGGGAAGGAGGTCTGAGACTCCCTGTTCTATCATGTTGATATCACTTCTTTTTTTAAAATATATTTTATTGATTTTTTTTACAGAGAGGAAGGGAGAGGGATAGAGAGAAACATTGATGAGCGAGAAACATCGATCAGCTGCCTCCTGCACACCCCCCACTTGGGATGTGCCTGCAGCCAAGGTACATGCCCTTGACTGGATTCAAACCTGGGACCCTTCAGTCCGCAGGCCGACGCTCTACCCACTGAGCCAAACTGGTTATGGCTGATAGCACTTCTTAACTGGGTCACTATTGAGAATGAACTTTTTAAAAAAGTATATATATATATATCCCTAATATGCAAATCAACCGAACAGTGGAATGACTGGCAGAACGACCGCTTGCTATGACACACATTGACCACCAGGGAGCAGATGCTCAGTGCAGGAGCTGCCCCCTGGTGGTCAGTGCGCTCCCACAGGGGGAGTGCCGCTCAGCCAGAAGCCGGTCTCATGGCTGACGAGCGCAGCGGCAGTGGCAGGAGCCTCTTCTGCCTCCACAGTAGGGCTAAGGAGCAGCAAGCCAAGTGGTAAGGAGCAAGCAGGTGGGTGGTAAGGAGTGAGCAGGAGGGTAGTTAGGAGCAAGCAGGCAGGCGATTAGGAGTGAGGGGTCCTGGATTGCAAGAGGGCGCAGGCTGGGCTGAGGGACACCACCCTCCCTGCCCTGTGCACAAATTTCATGCACTGGGCCTCTAGTATGTCAATAAAGTGCCATGTAGCTTACAGGTGAATTTTTACAGACAGTGAATTTAAAATTTGATATATATAGCTTAACTGGGACACTTTTGACAAGGAGTAGACAAAATCATTAAAATTATATATAATTTTTTGGAATTTATTTGTTAACTATGTAACATTTAGTTTTGTTGTATTGATATGCCTATAAAATAGTTCTATTTAAAAAATACTTGCCATAAAATATCATATACTTGCATGTGTTAAACCAAAATATTGTAACTACAAAACGTAAGTAAATTTATCATCAGTTTTGAAATTTAAACTGAATTTACAATAGCATTCACATTAACAAGAGCTAACACTATTTTGCTTTCATCATAATGAACTTTTAACCTTAATTTCCTACAATGGAAGAAAACAATGAGCTATTATTGATCTTAACCTTTCTCTCTGAAGCATCTGAAGACTTTGATGTAAAACTGACACAATGTAACACTTTGAGAAGTTCTTTTTCTGCTATTTGAGCCAACACATTGACAGTTTTCACTTTACTTTTGTACATGCAAAGAACACTTAAAGTTGAATACCAGCTAAATAATTGGTAAGTTTGTGCCAAATGAAATGTCATGCTTCCCCTGGGGCTATGTCTAACTTCTGAGGCACACGTATTAAATAGGCTTCTTTGAACACAGTTTTTATATAACAACTAACTTTTTTAGAAGAAATTGCATTGTCTTTTTTTTAAAAGTAATTATTTTGTTGAAGTGTAGCTCATGTACTTCACAGTAAACTGCATAGATTATAAGGGTAGAGCTCAATGAACATTTTTGGATCAAGAGAGAATATTGGCTCCATCCCATTCTCCCACCATAATACACCATTCGTCCCCAAGAGTTATCATTATCCTGACATCTAGCACCATCATTTAATGTTCCCTACATTTGAACTTAATATAAATGGCCTTATACATTATATATATATCTATGTTTTTTATTCTGCCTCCTTTTACTCAGTATAATTTTTATGAAATTCATCCATGTTGCATATAGCAAGAGTTTGTCTCTTTTACTTGCTGCAAAGTATTCCTTTTTGTGAATGCCACAATTTATTGATTTTACTAAATTTATACTATTTCTTTTCAGTTTTAACTATTATGAAAATGCAATTATGAACCTTATTGTGCCTTTTGGGATGCATATGTACTCATTTTGTTGAGTGTATATCTAAAAGTGTAATTGCTGTGTCATAGGGTATGCATATGTTCAGCTTTAATAATTACTATAAAACAGAGAGAGGGCTCAAATAAATAAAATCAGAAATGAAAGAGGAGAAGCTACAATTAATACCACAGAGATACAAATGATCATAGAAACTTCTATAAACAATTACACACCAACAAAATGGACAACCTAGAATAAATAGATAAATTCCTAGAAACATATAATCTTCTAAAACTGAATCAGGAAGAAAATTTAAATCTGACCAGACCAATTGAAAGGAAATTGAATCAGTAATAAAATACTCCCAAAAAACAAAAGTCCAGGACCAGATGAATTCACAGGTGAATTTTACCAAACATTCAAAGAAGATTTAACACCTATTTTTCTCATACTCTTCCAAAAATATTGAAGCAGAATAAGTGCTTCCAAATTCACTTTATGAGACCAGCATTACCCTGATACCAAAACCAGACAAGGACACCATAAGAAAAGAAAACAATAGGCCAATATTCTGGACAGACAGAGATGCAGAAGTTCTCAACTAAATATTAGCAAGCCAATTTCAACAATACATTAGAAGGATCATACACCATGATCAGTTGGGATTTATCCCAGGGATGCAAGGCTGGTTCAACATTCACAAATCAATCAATTTGATATACCACTTTAACAAAAATAAAGGATAAAAATTATGATCCTCTCAATAGATGTAGAAAAAGCATTTGACAAAATTCACTATCCACTTATGATTTTTAAAAAACTTTTAGTAAATTTGGTAAAGAGGGAACATGCTTCAAGATAATAAAGGCTATGTATGACAAACCCACAGCTAACATCATACTCAATGGTAAAAAGCTAAAAGCTTTTCCTTTAAGTTCAGGAACAAGACAAGATGCCTACTCTTGCCACTTTTATTCAACATAGTATTGAAAGTCCTAGTTAGAACAATTAGGCAAGAAAAAGAAATAAAAGGCATACACATTTGAAAGGAATAAGTAAAACTATCACTATTTGCAGATGACATCATTTTATATATAGAAAACCCTAAAGACTACACCAAAAAAACCTGTCAGAACTAATAAATAAATGAGTTGCAGTGTACAAAATCAATATGCAAAAGTTGGTTGCATTTCTACACACTAACAATGGACTATCAGAAACAGTTTCATTTACAACTGCATCAAAAAAGAATAAAATACCACCCAGCTATTGTGGCTCAATGGTTGAAAGTTGACTTATGAACTAGGAGATCACGGTTCAATTCCCAGTCCATCCCCAGTGTGTGTGTTGGGTGGGGAGGGGGGCGGGGGGGGAGGTGTACAGGAGGTGGCTGATTGATTTCTTTCATCTTTGATGTTTCTCTCTTCTTCTCTGTTTGTTTTTTTTAAGGATAAAATACCTAGAGATCAATTCCAGAAGGTGAAAGAGCTGTACACTTAAAATCATGAGACATTGATAAAAGAAATTGAAGAAGACACAGCTAAATAGAAAGATATTCTGTGGTCATGTATTGGAAGAATTAATATGTTAAAATGTCCATACTACCCAAAGTAACAATGTTGTATTGCATGTTTGAAAGTTGCGGAGAGATTAATCATAAAACTTTTCATCATAAGAAAAAAAATTGTAGCCTTGTATGGTGACCAATGAAACTAGACTTATTGTGGTTATCTAATTGTAGTATATAACAAATATCAAATCATTAATTTGTATACCAGAAACTGATATTTCAACTATAACACAATAAAAAAATAAAATAAAATAAATAGAATTGAGTCTTAAGCAAAAACACTTGTTTTAATAACTGAAAGGGACAGACTAAGACTAAGGTGATGTTATGCGTTTGGGTACCCAGTGAAAAGGAGAATTAAGAAAGCAGAATTGGAAACACTTACTGGAAAAATAAAATAGTTTGATGTTTCTACCCACGTTGTTGAGACAGCACAGTCACGTTGCTTGCATAATCTTACATGGATTACTTGGCTCATGTCATCCTGCCCCAAGAGGACAGGCCTGCATCTGTTCTGGCCACCACTATATTCCTATGTTCAGCAAAGGGCCTGGCACATGGCAGATGCTGTGATGCTGTTATATTCTGGTTTTCTAACTAAGAAATTGCAAACACTCCTAATGATAATTAAATTCTATCTGAAGGCAATAATCTGTGAAAGTATAATATCATATTATTCAATTTGCAGCATTTTTTGAAAAAATCTAGTTTTGCATTCTAGAATGGAGTAACTAAAGTAAAAATTACAGGGATTCTACTTTTTTTTAATTAAAAACTGGTATTAGAGTCTATAACTTTAACTTATTACCTAAATTGAGAAAAAAATGGAAGATAAAAACTGTGGTTAGCATATTAAACAAATACTTTATGTGTACAAGCTTCTTACCTATTTAGTTCACTTTGCAATGGGGAGCATATTGGATTTTTGAGAATTGCTTATTGCTATTTAGAGTTTGAACTTTGTGGTATTTTTATTACATTGAAAAAGACTTTTCCCCCAAGAAAATCCAATGATTAATAGCATAAGTAACAGTAGGATTCAGCCAGTACCAGAATGGGCAATAAATTGGACCATGATGAAGCTGTTATCTGTTCAAGTTCAGTGTGACCTAGGAATCCACCCATTTTTTTTGGCCCGGGGAGGGGTATGATTTTGGACATTTAATTACTCAGGCACTAACAAAAGTTTATCCTACAATGATTTTATTTGTAAAGTACTTCTATGGCATGAACTCAAGGATTCATGATAGCAAAGTTTATAACAAGCCATTTATATTCATTTTCTTTAATAATTTATTATTAGGGGCCTAGACTAGACAAAACAAACAACATTTCTCTTTTTTTTTCCTCTCTCTTTTTTGTTAATCCTCACCTGAGGATATTTTCCCATTGATTTTTAGAAAGAGTGGAAGAGAGAGGGAAAGACAGAGAGAAACATGGATGTGAGAGAAACACATTGATTGGTTGCCTCCTGCACAAGCCCCAACCAGGGCCTAGGCCAAGGAGAAGCCTGCAACCGAGGTATGTGCCCTTGACCAGAATAGAACCCTGGACTCTTTGGTCCGCAGGCTGATGCTCTATCCACTGAGCCAAACCAACTAGGGTCTTTTTTTTTTAATTTTTAATAATATTTTTTGTTTTAGAATAATAAGGGTACAGAGATTTTCCATATACCCCACACCCAGTTTTCCTATTATTAACATCTTGCATTAGTTTGATACATCTGCTGTAAGTAGTGAACCAGTATTGATGCATATTATTAGCTTATATCCAAAATTTACTCATATATCCATTTTTACCTAATGTCCTTTAGTTTTTACTTAATTTTTTACCCAATTCCTTAGTTTTTACCTAATTTTTCCATTTTTCTTTGTCTTTGATAACCTTGACAATTTTGAGAGTATCCATCAGGTGTTTTGTAGAATGTCCCACATTTGGGATTTTTATGATTTTTTAATTTTTTATCATGACTATGCTAGAGTTATGTGTTTTGGGCACAAAGGCCACAGAGATAAAGGGCCATTCTCATTACATCATATCAAGGTTACACACCATCAACATGACTTATCTCTGTTGATGTTGACTGGAACACCTGCTTGATGATAGTGTTTTCAGGTTTCTTTACTGTAAAATTACTTTTTCTCTCCATTTCCATACTGTATTCTTTGAAAGGAAGTCAGATTCACCTACTTTTTGGGGGTGGGAGACTTATTTTTATTGAGGTATAAATGACATATTATATTAGTGTCAGGTATACAACAGAGTGATTTGATATTTGTATATATTATGAAATGTTCACTGCAGTAAGTCTAGTTAATATCCATCACCATACATATTCTCAATTTTTTCTTGTGATGAGACATTTTAAGATCTTCTCTCTTAGCAACATTCAAATATGCAGTTCAGTATTATTAATTACTAGGGGCCCAGTGCACAAATTCATGCACTTTGAAAAGAACTGTGGGCTGCGAGGCTGCGGTGGGCACAGGGGCAGGTCTCGGCCCATACTCCGAACCCCTGCCTAGCCCCTCCCACTGCGGCCCCCAGTCCCCAGTCTGCCTGTAGCCACGCTCCTGCCACCACTGCTCCCACACGCTGATGGCACAGGCCCCACTTGCACCTACTTACAGCACAGAGCGATTGGGGCCGGTGCCAGCAGCGGGTGAGAGCAGGGCTGGCACCATCAGTGGGTGCAAGTGGCAGCTGCTGCCCCGATTACCCCTCAGGAGCAGGGGGAGGTGGAGAAGCCCTCAGGGGGTGATCAGAGATGGCAGCCGCCGCTCACACCCGCTGACGGCACTGAGCAATCGGCGCCAGCACCAGTCGCCGGCAGCGGGTGTGAGCGGCACGTGTGACCATGGCATGTGGGAGCAAAGAAATTTCAGCAACCACCAGAGGCTCACCCCGATGACAGCAACTGGTGCCCTGCCTTGGTCTGGCACCCTAGCTCACCTGCTCCATCATCCCACCATGGCCGATGCCCACCATCTTCCACGCGCACCCCCTGGTGGTCAGCACACGTCATAGCAACCAGTTGTTCGGTTGTTCAGTTGTTCTGCCATTCAGTCTATTTGCATATTAGCCTTTTATTTTATAGGATAGGATTATATAGGATAGTCACCATGCTGTACATTACGTCCCTATGGCTTACTTATTTTATAACTGGATCTTTGTACCTTTGACCTCTTTCACCCTTTTTGCCTTATCCCTCTGGGGTAGAATTTCTTAGCAAACATTTTTAATTGAATTTATTGGGGTGATATTGGTTCACAAAACCATACAAATTTCAAGCGTACAACTCAGCAAAACATCATCTTCACAATGCATCGTGTGGCCTTCGCCTCAAGCAAAGTCTATTTCCATCCCCTTTTCCCCCCTTTGCCCACCTCCACCTACTCCTTATTTCCCTTTCCCTCTGGCTATCACCACACTGCTGTCTGTGTCAATATGATATATATATACAGTGGGGCCTTGACTTACGAGTGTCCCGACTAACGAGTTTTTCGAGATACGAGCCGTCTCTTGGCTGATTTTTTGTTTTGAGTTGCGAGCTAAAATTCGGGTTACGAGCCAGCTTCAGATACCCCACCGCTAGTTGGTGCAGCGAACGTCACAGTGAATGCCACAACATCAGCCCAGCATCACGTGTCTCACTCGTTCACTTTTTGATTTGACATGCGAGTAATTTGAGTTACGAGCTCCGTCACGGAACGAATTAAACTCGTAAGTCAAGGCCCCACTGTACATAGGTTTTTGCTTAATCTCTTCACTTCTTTCATCCAGCTGCCCAACCCCTCTGACAGCTGCCAGTCTATTCCATGTATCCATGCCTCTGTTTCTATTTTGTTCATTAGATTTCACATATAGGGTGTCCCAAAAATGTATACACATTTTGAATGATTATAAAGTCAGTGTTTATTAACCTACAGTTCATTTTCAAACTGATGGCTGTTCTGGTCCAGGCACTGCTGATAACTTGAAGCAATGGAATCCCAAACATCAAGAATCATTTTGTTTGGTATTTGTGTGCCCTCTATTCTTCAGCTGTTGCTGATTGGTTGATGGTGGCCAGGAGCAGAGAGACAATGAGTTGAAGATGCTGATGAGGCCACATTTTTCTGTCTTGTCTACAAGGATTCACAGACAAATCCTGGCTGAACCCTTTATTACCTGGATCCTTGATACTCAAGTTGTGGTCCATAGACCAGTGTCATCATCCTCACCTGGGAGCTTGTTAAAAATGCAGAATCTCAGGCTTCTCCTAGAATGACTGAATCAGAATGTGCATTTTAACATGATTCCCAGGAGATCCACATGCACATTAAAGTTCAGGAAGCATAGGTCCAGAGCGGGGTGGGCAAACTTTTCCTGTAATTAAAGTTTTATTGGGACACAAAAATGCCTGTGCATTTATGTTTTGTCTATGACTGCTTTTGCACTACAGTGGCAGTTTGAAGAATTACAATGGGACTGTAGAGACCATAAAGCCTTAAATCTTTATTGCCTATCTTTTTACACAAAGCTTTGCTGACCCTTGATTTAGCCACACACTTCACTATCTATGATGGACTTCCAAGGAGGGAGGTTCCAATTTTATTCTACACCACTAACCCATTCCCTGCTTTTTAAGAAGAGGCTAACAATTCATGATTCCTCAGACACTGTATGGATTTCTTTGGAGAATTAGTGTGCTACATCTCCATGACAGAAAATAAGGAGATGGTCTCCCCAACCCCATTCCCAAACTGAAGCCAAGTGAGGGAGACGTCAAAAGAATCACTTTGAGAGATTAATATATTCTTCCTGAAATTTGGATGACACGGGGACTGATTCCTGAGTTGTTCCTGAAAAAAAAAAAAGTTAAGAAGAGACATTGTTAGAGGGTGAATGGTTAGAATAAGGAGTAAGGACCACAGTGGCAGTGAAATGGACCAGATATAGTAACTGTTCTCCCCCTTCCTTCTCCCCTTCCTCTTCTTCATAGGTTTATTTTACCATAAAATTCACCCTTTTAAATAAAGTGTGTAACTCAATATATTACTGTATTCACAGAATTGTGTAACCATCACCAATATCTAATTGTGGAATATTTCATCTTCCCTAAAAGAGATCTTGTACCTATTAGCAGTACTACTCATTTCTCCCACCCCCAGCCGTAGGCAACCACAGGTCTACTTTCTGTCTTTACAGATTTTCCTATTTGGGGCATCTCATAAAACTGGAATTATATGATATTTTGCCTTTCTTTTGGCCTGGTTTCTTTCACTTAGCATAATGTTTTCAAGGTTCATCCATGTTATAGCATAAATCAGTGTTTCATTACTTTTTATTGATGAATAATATTCCATTATATGAATATACTATATTTATTTGGTCATCAGTTGGGAGAGATTTGGGTTGTTTCCACTTTTCTAATATTATAAATAATGCTTGATTGGAAAAAATAATATATGAACATTTGCATTACAAATTTTTGTTTGCATGTCTAATTTCAACTTCCTGGGTATATATCTGGTAGTGGAATTGCTGAATCTTATGTAACTCTTTGTTCATCCTTTTGAGGACTGCCAGGCTTTCCAAAGGTGGTATTCCATGATATCCTCCTACTAACAATGGGAATGCAGTGTATGAGAGTTCTAGTCTCTCCACCTTATTTCCAACACTTGTTACTATCCATGTTTTTTATTAATAGCTATCCTAGTGGGTATAGAGTGATATATGATTTTGGTTTTAATTTTCATTACACTAATGATATTGACGTTGAGCATCTTTTCATGTGTTTATTGGCCATTTATATATTTTATTGGAAGAAATTTATTCAAATGTTTTTATCCACATTTTAAATTAAACCATATGTCTTCTTATTATTGAGTTATGGGTAGCTGATGTTGAGTTGTCTTAAAGGGTCTTTACCACACAGACCTTCTGGGAAGAGTGAGAAGATCAAACCACTAGAGACCACCAGAAGGCAGGGACTGAAAGCTAAGTCATGTATGGTTATTGGGAGGAGACTTCACCCTTATTAAAGAACTGCTGATGGGTCTTCTGAAAACGAATGAAAGCACTAAAGAGAAAAAGAGCCAGAATATGGGCTTACAGGCCAGATATTTCGGTGGTATCAATGTCAGGAGATTTCTCACCTTTTCCCTGAACATGACCTCCCACTCCTCTCACCTTCCTAACTGCCAGAATGAGTGGGTGATTAACCAATAACAGGGGGAAGGGACAGAAGGAAGTAGCTTGAGCTGTAGGGGAGAGGAAACACTTGAGTGGACTGAGACAGTGAAGTTTTGATTTAAATTTAATTGAAAAGTTTTTGATTACAGCTTTGTTTTTACCAGTTTTGCTAAGAAGCAGCAACAGCAGCAGAGTTGATTAAGAAAAATGAAGAAAAACTGCAAAAAGGAAACACACATAAAAGAAGGTGGTGCCTGCTTTTTAGATATTGATACCAGGAGCCATGCTTTCCACAACCACCACCTGTAGTTGCGGAAAGCCCTAGATATAATGATAGTGTAATCATTTGAATTGTATGCATTATTATATCAAGGCGTTAGATGGCTCGCATGAATGCTCTCTTCTGTGTGAAGGCATCCTATACCACTCTTGCGGTGAAACTGAAGTGCATGTAGAAAAAACTGATACTATATGAAACTTTATAGCACTTGTGACAACAGTTCGATGTGGGTTATGCACAGTGTGATATTTCTCCAGGTACCCTCCAAAATTCCCCACAGACGAGGCTTCCGTCCTCATTACGTGTTGGCCTCAGCCCGGCCATCCGGGACTGTTCTATTAAATTGCTGCCAGGATGTTACATCCAGTTACCTCCAATTTCTAGGACATATTCTCTACTAATGTTATTGAAAACAATTTCTACTTCATCCAGATTTTTTTTTTTTGCAATGGCAATTAAAGTTTTTCTTCCATGAAAAAAAAAGTTTTATTAAATCAAAGATGAAGCTGTTTATTAACACCCGAGAGTAACAAAAAATAAATGGGTGTACCTAAAATTTTATAAAGAGATGGGACTGACTGAGCTCAGTGGAGTCAAAGGCAGTTGTGTGAAAATAAATATTGAGCTTGTTCTGAGTCTAGCTTGTCTGATAGGCCATTTACAAGAGCAGCACCCAGTACAAACCTCTAAGGCATGACTGTGTGTGTGGTGGGACTGATTTAGGAAGTCGGAGAAGAATAATGGTCTGAGAAGCTGGAAGGCCCGGATGTTGGCTGGACAGTCAACTTTGCTATTGTACTCCATCTACAGGATAGTAGGGAATGTGGTCGGAATGACATCAAAGCTGAGAGATGTCCCTGGAGGCTGACAGCTGACAGCCACAGGGATGTTGGGAGAACCCTGTATAAGCAGAGTAAGTAGGATTATTGATTAAATGTTTTGGAGCTACGGTCTGGAAACTTCAGTGAGGAGTATGCCAACCACATCTCTAGTCTTGGTTTTGGGTTGGGATGGGAGAAAGGAAGGCCGCTAACTGAGAGACTTGAGAAGAAAGAGGAAGTATGTGAGCAGTTCATGGGGTTTGGAAAGAAACAATGAAAGAAGCCAGCAAGGGTCATTAATGGAAGAAGCTAGGATAAGGGACAAGTTCAGGGATGGAGATACGCCTGAGGGGACAAGGGCAAGGTCTGGAGAGGTCCCTGAAGAGGCGCCAGTAATTTTATGGACAAAGGAGATGGGGGAGGGAGTAAGCAGCCAAGGGAAGTGGGAACAATGAAACTATTGACAGAACTACTTGGTGCTAAAGTTTTCATTCTATATTTGATACATTGGTGTCACCCAACTTGTCATATGAATAACAACCCCATCAAGTTGCAAAACCCGAATACCAATGCTAAGAACTTGGGGTTTCTCTGACCAGTGACTTTTTTATTGTGAAATTCTTCAATTTGAAAAGGGGAATTTCCAGTGGAAATAATAGACTGTAAATTGTTTACTTGGCAAAACACCATTAGACTAAGCTAAAGACCTTGATACACAAGGATATGATAACAGAAGTTTACCTGCCAAGGGCTTTCATAATGAAATGGTAGGGAAATTTTTTCTGACCTGCAGAGCAAAGAACATGTTCTGAAAGATACTGTATTATATTTAAGGGATGAAAAAGTAGGAACAATGAAAAAGCCAATTAATGAATAAACTGGGTGGGAATCAAGCAAAAGACTAGTTGAAATAGCCTTAAGTTGTTTAGCCAAAGATTTATCCTTCATATTGGAACAAATAGAGAAAAAAAAACTTTTCAGGGCTGCTTTGCTTAGATTTATTGTCCTCATTTTCCACCTAGGGTGTATTTAATACTAAAAAGGGACACAGAAAAAAAAGGAGTGAGGAGTGATAATTAAAGCACAGAAATATTTAGATGACATGTTATCAAATATATAGGAAGTTTTCAAAAATTTGCTTCTGCTGTATTTTTAAGCTTTATTTTTTTTCCAATCAAGGCTCACTTATTGAATCTTAATCTTGCATCTAGCACTGCACCAAGCGCTATGCATGCTTTGGTAAAGGTATAGGCATGACTCTTACTTTTATGGAGCTTATACTCTTAGGAAAACAAGACTAACCATAAAGAGAGAATTAAGATGCTTTCAAAGAAATTAATTGAATATGATCATGCATCTTGACAGAAATGAAAGATAATACTTTCGTGGTTAAAGCGCTTACTAGATTATGTACTGATAATATGATGAAGACTGTATCTTGCAAGATGCTATTTATTAACAACTGCAAAAAATTTGCCCTTGACCATAGCTGCTAAATTTACATTCTAACTCAAAGGTAGGAAATTCATCAGAATATTTCCTAGAGTTTGCTCCATGGAACAATATTATCCTGAGAAATGTGGCCTACTATGTCTCCTTCTTGGGGAATTATAGTAACATTTTTATATTAAAGGCTCTGAAAAATCTTCCAGCAATGAAGCCATGTTAAACCTGTACAATCCTACAAATCCAACCTGTTTTTTACTATAGAATCGTCTTTACTTAGAATCACTGAACCTGTTTTGGCAAGTGCTGTGTTAAAGGATACACATGAGATACTCAGGATTTGACGAAGGAGAAAAGCAAACAAAGTAAAACTAATTTGCACCTAGACAAAGGGTTTATTTACCAATATCTACATATATATAAAGGCTAATATGCAAAGTGTCCCCTCAGGAGTTCGACCAGGAGACCGGGAGTTCGATTGCTTGCTATGAGGTGTGCTGACCACTAGGGGGCGGCACGGAACAAAGGAAGGCCCTGGCCAGCGGCTGGCAGCCGGCAGCGGGGGAAGGAAGGCCCTGGCCGGCAGCCAGAAAGCCCTTATTGGCCCTGATTGCTGGCCAGGTCTAGGGACCTTACCCCATGCACGAATTTCGTGCACCAGGCCTCTAGTTCTGTATAAAAGCCAAAGCCCTAGTGTCTGAGCCTCAGCACAGAGTCATAGGAAATGGAAACACAAATATGACTCCAGGTGCCTTGAGGAATAATATAGACCTTTAATGTGGTCTATATTAGACCACATAGAAGTCTGGTCAGTGATTTTCTGTAAATATTCCTTTCATTCCCTGTCTACATTTATCCAGCCATTAGAATATTTATCCTGCTCTATCCATAAACATGTTTCTTCTACCATCTTGCTGCTCAACCCTGTATGCTCCCTTCTTTCCCCCCTATATTTGTACTATTGCTTGTAGCAAGAAAAACATAAAATGTCAAGGAATTACCCTGACAAAAATACATAAGATCTTTTAAGATAATTTAAAATCATGGTAGATGACGAACCAAAATACTGGCATAAATGAAGAGGCATCCTATACTCCTGGATAGAACAAAGTATTACATAAAGATGTTAATTCTTTTCTTAAAATATATTTTTATTGATTTCAGAGAGGAAGGGAGAGGGAGAGAGAGAGAGATAGAAACATCGATGATAAGAGAGAATCATTAATCAGCTGCCTCCTGCATGCCCCCTACTGGGGATTGGGCCAAGATGTTAATTCTTTAAAATCCTGGAGGAAAAAAAAAAATCCTGGAGGCATTGTGGGGCTCTTCCAATGCTACCCTTCAACTTTTTGTGCGTCATAGCCCTGTTCCCATATAAGATCCATTAGACTATTGATGTGGGAGCCCATTGCTCGGTGGGAACACCAACAAAGAGACAAGATTTTTAAAAATGCAGCATCAAGGTTTTTTTAAAAAATTGAAATATAATTGACATACAATATTATATTAGTTTCAAGTGTACAACATCCGGATTCAGCATTTATATACCTTACCAGGTGACCACCGTGGTGAACCTATTAACCATCTGTCATTGCACAAGTTGTGATACTATTGACTATATTTCCTGTTTACAGACAGCAAACTTGGTTAATATAGTCAGGGGAAGTCATCCACTAGGCTGGAAAAGAATACCCAGCACACTTATTTTCCTTTGTTCTCATATTATGTGTACATATATGTATTGATTTAATTTTATTATGGCAATTTTAGTAACTGGGTGATATTTTGACAGTTTTGCCTTTTTTTTTTTTTTTTTTTTTTTTTTTACATTTTTTGTTGTAGCTGGAGAGTGTGCCAATGATATTCGCAATTCAGTCAGCAGCTATGATCAGATCTCTGAGTGCTATCACTTCAGGGTCACAAACCTTAGCTTTGTAGGTTCAATAATAACCTCATAAGTGTAACCAAAGAGCATTTAGTCTCTTGAGAACAGATTCTTTCTAACCAGGAGACTGACCTAATAACCAGGATGCCTATTTATTTATTTATTATTTTCAAATATATTTTTATTGATTTCAGAGAGGAAAGGAGAGGGAGAGAGACATAGAAACATCAATGATGAGAGAGAATCATTGATCGGCTGCCTCCTGTATGCCCCCCACTGGGGATTGAGCCCACAACCCGGGCATGTGCCCTTGACCAGAATCAAACCTGGGACCCTTCAGTCCAGAGGCTGATGCTCTATTCACTGAGCCAAACCGACCTATTTTTTAATGATTATGTGCATTGTTATCATTAGTCATTCATTCCCCATAGCAGTGGATTAGTTTACAGTAATTAAAATGTCTATGTTTACTCTCCAGAGCAGCATCTTTTAAGTTGAGGGCACCTAGGATGTCAAATGGGTATTAGTAGAGGGAGGTTTCATGTGGGCCTGATAAACCCTTCTCTGTTCATCTAAAGCCTTTTCTCCCCCAGACTCAGCTTCTCTTCTGTGGATAGTGCTGGAGGGATAAACTCCAGGAAATGCTGCCCCGTGACTCTCATTTGTCTGTCCAAGTGATCCCTTTCCTTCTGTTAAATCGCCCAGTATTTTGGAAAGACACATGTCCTAAGCTGTGCAGTCTGGGCAGAAAATGGGGGTCTCCACAGTAAGGAACAATGTTTCTTTGGCTTAGTTCTTCCCACTTATTATGGGGTCTCCTGCCGCCTTCTGCAGGCTCTCGGACTTATCGCAAATCTCCCGCCTTCTCTTCTGAGACTTCTAGGGTGCCACTTATATATGCTCATGAATAGGTTCTCACAACTTCCACTACCCTGAGGTCACTACTGCCCCCAAACTAAGGGCTGCCATCCACAGCACAGGCATCTGCACTAAGAGGTCTGCCTCTTGCTCAAAAGCTGCTCCCACTGGCGCCTCTCAGCCGCAGGTAACACTGAGGATCATGCTGAGCCTATCACGTAAAGCCCTGCTGCTTGTCCCCTTCCCTAGAAGTTGACGTGCTGGTGTCATTGCTGTGCCTTTGACATTGGCCATCTTTTTGACATTGGCCATCTTCTGTTACACACTGGCTCCATGCACTGGGTCACTGCTGCCCGTCACTGAATCCAGGTCAATTATTGACTCCTACATCTGTGTCACACTCCTCCCTTCTTCCCAGAGCAGCATGAACTAGGCTCTAACACTGCACACAAGATTTATGTGCTAATCAGCTCTCAAGTGTTGACATGAGTCCAAGGGGTCAGGTAGAGAACAAATTCAAGTGCTCAGACATGAGTTCCCTTTCACGCTGAAGACTATTGTTATTGAGCAAATTTGTGTCTTTATTCTCTTTTTCCTTAAAATGGGTTCTTTTCTAGAAGCTCCTTATTCAGCAGATAGTCAACATATGTCTGAACAAGCCTGAACACTGGCTTCGGCTTGGCTGGCACTTTCCTGTTCTTTATCTCCACCCCACCCAATAAATACACAAATTCTGGTATGTTGACAATTTTCTGGAAAACATTTTAAGGAGATTGTGATTTTAATAAAATCACAATTTTATTCATTCTGTCCATTTTACTGGAAAAGCCCTGCATTTTATTTTCATGTACCTTCCTAATCATATTTTTGGTTTTTTTGCTTTTTTCAATGAATATTATATCATAATAATTGTTATGTTATTACATATTTTTATAATAATGCTACATAATACTTTATCAAATAGTAATTGTAGCATGCCAAACCTGTCATTCTCCTATTTTGGGCATTTGTATTGCTCTGTTGGTTGTGTGCTAGTCAGGATAAGCTAGGCTATGCTATTGCAACAAACAACTGCAACATATAAATTGTTTAAGAGACAAAGTTTATTTCTTGCTAATTTAAAGTCATCTGTAGATCTAGATAGGTCTTCAGGGCATCTGTCCTCCAGGCAATGACTCATATGTCTAGTCTGGTTTGAACTGTGGTTGTCCTCTCTGAATAAAAAAGCTTCCCCTGCAATCACAGAGGTAGGAGAAGGAGGCTGGAGAGTTCACGTGGGCTTTCATTGCCACAGCCTAGAAGTAACACACATTCACTTCCTTCACATTCTATTGGTCGGAACTAGTCACTTGGTCCTCTCTGACTGTGTGGGGACTGAGTACATAGGGAGCCAATAGATGAGGGGGCCAAGCATGGAGTGCACCAATGGACTAGGAAGCTGAGCATGGAGGGTGCCAATGAACTAGTTGGTAAGTATCACTGTCTCTGTCATGGGTTATTTATATATAAGAACCCTGCCACTTGTTGTAGACTTTTATATTTGCATTTATTTTTTCCAAAATGGCCTTTTCATTTTGTTTGTTTCTTTTGCTGTGCAGAGCTTATTAGTTTGATGTAGTTCCACCTGTTTAGTTTTACCTTCGTTGCTTGTGCTTTTGGTGTACCTGACCATTTTTGACAACAATTTTAAGCAGCTGTTGAGATTCTAAAATAGTCTTTTAGGGTCCAAGAAGAAAATAAAACAACAACATAAGAAAGCAAGATGCAATAAGGAGTATATATGTGAAATTCTATAGAGTACTTAATCCTAGGGTGTTAATCCCTCTACGATTTTATGAAACCCTATTTTTGGGAAAAGTGAGGTTAGGAATGATCTCAAATGCCTTATTTCCTTATATTTGGTTCTAATTTGGGTCATTATTTCCTTGTATGTATTAGATAAATAGCCTTTTCCCACACAGTAGTGTTTAGTTGGGGTACTTTTTCTAAAGCTTCTTCTAACAGGCCAAGGAAGGATAGAAGTGATTCCAAAGCAAGGAAACGGACCTTTTTAATAATTGGATGGAAAAGACTAATAGAAAGTTAAGTAAAAAACAAATGTAAATTTTTTTCCCCCCAAAAGAAAAGCTTTGGGCTGTTTTGTTTTGTTTAAACTTGGATCATTAGACACTTTTTTCTAAAGTGTCACAGTGCTGTATACCATAGAGGAGAGTGCTAAGTCCTTCTTATATTTATTCTCCCCTTCCTGTTAATAGAACCCCAACTTTTAGTTGATCTCCTAGCCACTTAGTTAAAATACTCGTTTGTAGCTAGGTGTAATCAAATGACTAAAGTCTGTCCTATGACATATAAGTGGGGTTTCTGTAAGTCTCCTGAAAGGTGCTCCGATGCATTTTTTTTCTTCCTCCACCCTGTTGCAAGGAACATAGGCATATTGGCTGGATATCCATCCTCACATTAGATTAGGAGAATGAGGGCAACAGCTCAGGGAAGTAAGAAGCTAGAAGGAGCTTGAGTCTCTGATGACTATTAAGGTGCTCTATATGCTTGGACTCTTTGCTTCTGGACTTCATTTATGGGTGAGAGAGAGAACTATCTAGCTCTCTCAAGTCAGTTTTTCTAATCTCTATTACACACAGGCAAACCTAATAATAACTGATACAAGTATTGGTAAGATATACAAAATCACTGATACAATTATTTTCTGTGTTTAAAGCAAAGAATGAGAATTACCTTTCAGTAGTTTTGTTTAAATGAAAAGAGTGCACGGCAGAAAGATATATTTAGTTTCTAAAAAGTCAATTCATTAAATCCACATAGGAATGAATCTTGACTTTGGTATCTGACAAAAATTCAATTTGAGATGAATCAAAGGCCTACATATAGAAACTACCAAGTTTTAGGGAAATATCTTTGAGATTTGAGAGTAGGCAAAGATTCCTTAGATAGGACAAAGAAAGCAGTAACTATAAAAAGGAAAGTTAATTTAATTATATGTCAAAACAATTTTAAAACAGGCTCATCAATAGTTATCATTTTAAAACAAAAACAGACAAGCCAGAGAAATAAAAATATATTTGCAAGGCATATATCTAACTAAGGACTCGTATCTAGCATATACACAGGACTCTTACAATTCTATATTTTAAAAAATGTAAGAACATGAGCAAAAGATTTGAGTAGATACTTCACAAAGAAAAATAATAAATAGCCATTACACACATGAAAATATTCAATATCTTCAGAAGTGAAAATGAAAACTACAATACGACACCACTACACAAACACTAGAAAGGCTATGATTAACAGCACGGACAATATCGAGGTTTTGGAAAGGATGTGGGGCAACCAGAACACCGGTACATTTTGGGCATGAGTGCAAAATGATATAACACTTCTGTGAGCCAGGGAGAGGGGCCCCAGGAGAAGCCAACCTGCCAACACCTTCACCTTGGATGTCCAACCTCCAGAACGGCGGCAAAATAAATTTTTGTTGTTTAAGCCACCTAATATAGACAGCACACAGTATGGTCTTATTTTGAAATCTAATCTGTCAATCTCTGCCTTTTACTTGGAGTGTTGAGATTATTTAAATTTAATGTAATTATTGGTTTAGTTTGATCTATGTCTACATCTTGCTTTCATTTTTTTCTTCTGATTTTTATAGTTATTAATAGTTCCTTTTATTGCTAAGTAGTATCCCATTGTATTCGGCATGTAACAAATATTACTACACATGAAAAATAAACAGGAAAATGTGAACCATAGTAAAGACAAAACAAAATGAAAAGAGGCATTGGGCCTCCAAAATTCTATTGGCAAAACGTAGACTGATAAAATTACTCAGCTACAAACAAGTGCTACCTTTCATGAAAAAAGGAGGGATGACTCAGAGAGTGGAACAACAGCTCAGAGAATGGAGCCATGGAGACTTATTCCCACATCTTGAAAACAGATGAAGGAACTTTCAATATTCCCTCTGTTGGATTTCAGAATTGCTACGGGCAATGACTCCTTTGTTTATTCCATTTTCCCCCTTTTTGAGCAGAAGTATCTATATCAATTGCCCTATGCCTACATGACCATTGTTTTTTAGATGTATATGAAGGAAGTAACTATCTCTTTCACAGATTTACAGATTGAGAGGAACTGTACTCACAGAGGCTGTATTTCAGGAAGTCGACTCAAGGACTCTCTTCCACCCTGGGACCTAATTTAGATGAGAATATTATGGATTTTTGACACTCATACTCTGCCCAGTTAGCTTTTCTCTTTCATATTCTCATTTAAATTAAGCACTTGAGTGCCTACTGTTTACTAATCACTGAGTTACATGCAGGGTACTCAAAGTTAAATAAGACAGAGTTACTTATATTAAGTCTGGTGGGAAAGACATAGAGGTAAGCCCAAGATTCCATCATGGGGAAATAGGTACAATATAGTTATATACCCAGAATGCAATGGGAGTAGGATGATAGCATCTAAATCAGGAAAGCCAGAAAAGGAATCCTGATAAGGTGATACCTGAGCCAACTCCTGAAGGACAGGTAGAAGTTATTTGGGTTGGACTGTATGACATTATCATTCTTCTATTTCAGAAATGGTTGATTACTGGTAATTTATTATGGTCCAACCTGATAGGTAGGTAAGGAATATTCTACACAGAGGCCTTCCAGTTGAATACGACAAATTGAACACACATAGATTTATCAACAACAGGACTTTCTCCTAGGACAAGTTAGTCTTTCCTGCTTTTGTCCACTGTATAAGTTACTGACTTGGTGGCTTGAGACATTTTCTCCCCAGACTTTGGTGAAGATGTTGAGTGGAATGGCCAAGAGCCCTATTTGGGAGTGAGTCAGGGTGAGTTGTCCATTTTTATTATCATCACTTTGATGTTGACAGGAGACAGCTGGCACTTTCTATACACAGGCAGCTATTTGTCCTGCGAGAGAAACAGTTCCAAGGAAAAGTGGCCATCATGGGGAAGCTGATGAATAAGCCATTCCAAAAAATTCACTGGATTATCACATGTCGTGGTCATCAGCCAGCTCCCCATAATTCTATCCTTAGTATGATTGTGGGGAAGCTGAAGGTGGATGAAATGCTAGTCATTGAGTTTCACCAGTTCTCAAGAATATGAATCACAAATAATTTGTACTAATAATACTTTGAGTGGCTTTATAATTCTTATTAAATATCTATTAAATTTTTAAATTAAATATTGATTCTTCACCCTTGATGAGTTAACAGCTTGGTTTGCCACTGACCAAGGGGAGAAAAGCTGTAACTGACTTGGTTCTCTGGGGAGGCCCTCAGTGCCTTAACGGCTGAGCCCATAGATTTCGAGGTTGAATGAGGTCTCTCTTTTTCTCACTCAACTCCTTTTTTTAAATTTTAACTTTAATTGGACACTGTGCTCAGTTCCAATGTTGTGATAGATATGCCTGAAGAACTGTCAACATTTGATTTGGCTTAAACATCCTTGGTTATCTTCTGGCCTGGAAATGGAAAGTCCTGGTTCTACCTGGCACTGGCCTTGAGCCACACAGGAAGTCATAGAACAAGAAGGGCCTGGCTTAGAGAGGGGAACGGAGCTGTCAGGCCTGCTCTGGGCCTCAGCTGACAACCACTGCCCTTCCTCCAGTCATGGTGGGGCCCATCCTCCAACAGAGATTGAAAATGTTCAAATTCCATTAAAATGACATTAAGAAATTATTTCAAAGGCAAACATTTGAGAAGAAAAGGAAGCTGTATAACAATGGACAAATGATAACTGACTTAATGGACCAGAGAAAGTAGAATTTTCTTTGAAAATCAAGGAAATCTTGAAAAGGGATTATTCATTTCATAAAAGCCCATACAATAGATGTTAAAAAAAGAAGAAGAAGAAGAAGAAGAAGAAGAAGAGTGTTTAAAAAAAAAAGAAGAAGAAGAAGAAAAAAGACCTACAACAAGGCATATCATTATGATATTTCTGAAAGCTGAGTCAAATAGGAGACCTTTAAACTTTTCAGAGATAAAATAAATGGGTCATCTCTAAAGCTAGGGAGTTGGGACTATAATTAGCAAGATATTTTAATATCCAGTTGGCCCAGCTCCATGTCTGCTAACCAAAACCCTTGGCTAACTCTTGACTCCTGGTCACTCAGATCTCCATCTGGGTTTGCGTCCCTCTGTTCTGAGTTTCCTGGTCAGTGTCACTGGGCCTGCCTCAGGCGATTGTCCTGACTTGCTTCCTTGCCTTTCTACTCTCTGCTTCATTCAGCTCACCTCTCTGGATATGGCTTCTCATCCTCTTGGCTAAAGGTCTCCATGGCCTGGATCATTCATCTTCATTCCTTTAAGACTGTCTAGGGCAGTGATGGCGAACCTCTGACACGCAAACTCATTTTTTTGGTTGATTTTTCTTTGTTAAATGGCATTTAAATATATAAAATAAATATCAAAAATATAAATCTTTGTTTTACTATGGTTGCAAATATCAAAAAATTTCTATCTGTGACACAGCACCAGAGTTAAGTTAGAGTTTTTCAAAATGCTGACACGCCGAGCTCAAAAGGTTCGCCATCACTGGTCTAGGGCCTAGGCTATATGCTGCTCAAACTAGAAATATCAGACTCTCTTGTTAATGTTGAAATTCTGTCTCACTGAACATTGTAGAAAAATTTCCCCATGTGTCACCATAATTGTTCATCCTCTCTCTCTCTCTCTCTCTCCACACAGACATAAATATAATCAGTAGTTTACTCTAACTGAATATTTAAGAGCAAAACAAAATGCTTAAAGTGTGTTACATAATTAGTCACATATTTATGCCGTATGCACTTGTTATTCAATGAAGATATGGTTTGATTTCCAAATAACAAAATGTTGTGAATAATATCAGAAAAAAATGGATACTGAGTATCTGAGCTAATAGTTTTACATTTTTTAGGTAAATTGTCTCATAATTTTCTATTTTACTGTGTGTAGTGTGTTTCTTCTATCCAGGTGAAAGAGCACAAAATGCTCTGTCCGTGCCACTCCTACAGCCACGTCATTAAACTGTTCTTCCATGAAGTCAGCATTATAGGTCCCACGTACAAATAGAGAGTCGGAGACAAAGGCTCCAAGTTTGGTGGGTTAAGTCCAGGTTGAATAGCCCAAATGCTATTGTACAGTCACCAAATCAGAGTCATACAACCTCTGAGGACAACTGAAGAAATTCTCTTGAATTTTTAAACGGAAGAAACTGAAGAAACAACAACAAAACAAAACCTTTTATTCAGCTAAAATTGTGAACCTCTTGTATGGCCCTGGATTGAATCAAGCCTGCTCTGCCATTTCTAAGGAAGGCAGAGCAAAACACCACTTCCCTTTGTCCCTTGTGAACAAAGGTAAGTGTGGACTCGATGCCAGGCCTACGCAAGTAAAACCAGTGCACGGAGATTCTGCTCGCGGGCTGCAAAGCCCCGACACAGGCAGGATGTCTCAGTGGGAGCCGGAGGGGAGTGCTTCATCAGGAACGATGGTATAAGACAGTAGCTCCAAATATTAAAATGGAATCATTGGTAAGGGAGATATACAACTGACATTTAGTAATGACGATGAAAATATTTGTCTCCCTCTATAATTCTGAACACAAGAACCCTGACTAGAAATGAAAAGCAGGGGCATCTGTATTACTTTCAACAATAAAGACACATTTACAAAAAAGAAATGTAAAGCAATATGGGTGGCAGATGGCTGGTATGGTTTGTACAGCACATAGTTTGTATACAGAGGTGGGCAAAAGTAGGTGTACAGTTGTTCATATGGAAATAATACAATAATTAATAAGCAAATAAATACAAAAATAAACAGTGTTTCGCATGTTCACAACTGCAAACCTACTTTTGTGTGTGTGCATGCGTGTGTGTGTGTGCATACATATGCTTAAATTATGTTACAAATTCATAAACCTATTAAGAAATTAGAAAATATAAGCAAATAAACAAATAAATGCTTACTAATCATAATAGCTACTACCAAGGAAATGCACAGGGACAAGGCCTACTTGTGGCTCTGCAATGCACTCATTACCTCGGAGACTTGCCATTCCATTCCAAGCATCTCTACCCACATACACTTTCATGTCTTCATGCCTTTGCTCAAGCTTTCCTCTGCCTGAGAAGTTAGCTTCCCTTATATTTGCAAGTGTAAACACTTAATCTTCAAAGCCCAGCACACTTTCCTTTGTTGATCCAATAAGGGTCACACCCCCCTCTCTCCACTCTGCTGTTACAGCTCTTGTTACATTTTGCTTGGTCTTATAGTTACTTCCCAGTGAGATGATGAGTAACTTAAGAGCAGAGACTGTGTTTTACTGATTTATGTTTTCCTATCGTTCCATAAGCAGGAGCTCAATAATGCTTGGCTGGGATCTCCAAGGCCATCAAATTCAGGTGACACAACTATGAGTTATAAATATGAGTATGATTTGGCCTGTCTCTCATTTGCCCATGAACATGTCTTCAGCTGCCTCAGATAGCAGAGTGAGATTTGCTGCTGATTCTTCAAGTCGAAGTCTAGGATGATGATATCAATGTGGTGTAGCAGAATATTAGAAATATATATTACGTGAGCTGGGGCTAATTTGGATACTGCACACCTGGCCTAAGACATACATGCATTAACAACCAGCTGTCTGTGATGCAAATCAGATCCTAGTGCTCACAGAGCCTGTCCACAGTGGGGGTAGCAGACGTGTGTTTGCACATCTCTCTCTTTTAATCACCACTTAGATCAGTGGTTCTCAACCTTGGCTGCACATTAGAATCACCTGGGAATCTTTTTAAAATCCTGATTTCTGGGCCTCATCCTCCGGAAATTCTGTTTCGTGATGGGGTGGGGCCACAACATTAGTAACAAAGAAACAGAATTTCCGGAGGATGAGGCCCAGAAATCAGGATTTTAAAAAGATTCCCAGGTGATTCTAATGTGCAGCCAAGGTTGAGAACCACTGACTTAGATCCTCTTGCTCTCAGCTGTCTCTGGTTCTAGTCTGCGTGGGCTCCAACTGACTTCACCTGGGAGCAACAGGACAGTGCCTCACTTCCTCCTTGCACCACGCCCCTCTTTGTTGCCTTCCATCGTTGAGTTACGTGGCACAAATAAAAT